CGAGCCAATTACGGGCAGGCGGCCCGGGCCAGGTCGTGACCCAAGCATGACTGGGCCGGGTCAGCCCGCGGGTAGGTCCCGCGCCCAACCTTAACCAAAGTTTTATTAAAAAAAGACCAAAATCATCAGATGCCTTGCTACGTACTGCGAAGACTTGTAAATGCAAGGGGAAATCATGGGGGTCTTTATAAACTATATATTAGGGTATGGTAAATTATTAGGCTCGCGATACATGCTCAGTGTGAACTCAGACATTTTGGGATTATTGTCTCGTGTCCAGATTCATGCCCTTACTCACTCCATTCTGTTTTCATAGTGATCAACTAGACTCTTTATTTTTGTTGCGGATTTAACTTCATTGACTTGGTTTAATCCAATGAATCTGAATTGATTAACTCACGAGGAGCTAATAATGGATGGTCTATTATGCACATTTTATTCCTTGAAGCGAAGAGAGCGTGGAGAGAGTAAATAATATTCGTAATAAATTTATTCTTAATAGAGTTTTGACTAATACATGGAAATGCTGAATGAAACCCTGAGTTTCACTCTCCTGCTAAAAGAATACGTAGAACGTAAACGAAAGAAATGTAACATAACATTACAGAAAAAATGATTATCGCCAACGATCTAATCCGTTAGTACAAAAAAGAAATTAGTTCCTAAAACCGCTTATAATTAACTACAACCTACAACATTTCTTGAACATGCTACATAGGATGCCAATGTTTTGACACCCTTCTTGGAAGGGCAACTGTGGTTCACAAGTGGGGATGTTTTTTGTAAATCTTTGGCAAATGCATGTGTTACCAGCGTGTTGCCACAAATGTAGGCATCAAACGCCAACGTTTTGCCACGAATATCCGCATTTGATGAGAAGGCAGCTGAACAGCCTGAGCCTCTTTCCAGGCCACAAAGGTCAGATTTCTGTAGATGGAAGTATGTAATCGTCATCGTTAATTATCAAGTACACCTCTTGCTTTATTCACAAATAAGAACGCCAAGTTGTATCGTGTTATCGACACTACTTTGTGATCTACTCTTATTTTATTTTCTTCCCATATTAATTCAAATTGAAATTGAAAGTTCTTGAAGCCGACTTAATGGTTTTTCACAGTTTAAATCTAATAAATTTAAAATAGATATACCCAAGCATGCTCGATACATGAATGCGAACAGTCTGTAACTTTTGCGTTGAACGGTTGAACTTCAACCTAACCCCTCCCTTCTCAGATCCTCGTAGCAAGCTGGATATCCATGGACGTAAAAGTGACCTTAGCATGAACAGAGCACAAATTAGTATCAAACAAATAAGCCGTTGGGATTTGGGTTTGCGGAGAAAATGGGTATACGATTGAGAAATGATTTGAGAGTGTGAATGTTTTAGTGATTTGATATTATAGATTACAAAGGAGGGGAAGTGTCGCTTTTGAGCGTTGGGTCTTGTTTGGTGGGAAAATTCGAAGAATAATTCCGATAACCGTATTTGGTTTTATTCTCTCTAACTGATTTAGAAAAAGAATGATTTACAATTCTTTCAAAGTAATCTCTCTCTAACAAGCTTAAAAAAATTACAAAATATTCTCAATCGGAATCCCGATTTACAAAAGAGAAGAAGATCAATAGAGATCCTCTCCTTTGTTTAAGTATGGGTTCTTCACGGTAGCAATGAGATGCCTCCCTCGATGTTCGTATCGAGTTTGCTTCTCATTGACGATCCGACCACCTTGTTTTGTAGAACGTGATTGATTTCTCTTGATTGACGTTGAGGAGAACTTACGTGATAAGTTTGAAACTCTTGACGAGTTGATAACTTATAGCGAGTTTAAACTCTTGAAAAAGAGTTGATTTGAATCGAAAATCGGTTAATAAGCCAAGGATGAAAGCTCTAAGGACTGCTCCGCAAGATGAATGCCGATCTTTCAATCTTTTTGCTGCCGAAAGAGGATGAAATGATGATCCCCTTTGTTGATCTCTAGATCCGAAAATACTCAAAGATCCAAAGATCGCAAAAAGCCAGCCCCTAACTCAGTTGAGTTTTCTATGATTTATAAGGGATTAAGGGGTGTAACCGCCCCCCATAAATCTCTCCATGATAGGATGATGATCCCCTCAAATCGTGGGGAGAAAACGGTTTCTGGAACCGTTCAACTCGTGTTTGAGCGAGTCAAACGCTGAAAACGACGTCCTGGGCCCGAACTCTGCGTTTTAGACCTGAAACGTAGAGTGGGCATTTCCAGTTGGCTCAGAATGCAATGGCCGCACCGTTTTAAGAATCTGAGATGCAGGAATGAACTCTGCGTTTGGATATGGAACGCAGAGTTGGGTTCTGTGTTTTGGGCTGAAAATGCAGCAATGAAGTTTGCATTTTGATGTTGCAACGCAAGGAGGACCTCTGCGTTTTGATGTTGAAACACAGGTCTGACCTCTGTATTTTGATGTGAAGAGACCATCAATTTGTGGTATCTTTTGCTAGAGCGTTGTAAAGATCATCATCTTGTAATCTTCTTCTTGACTCCTTGAAAATATGAAAGTCGTCAGATTATAACTCCCGATGTTGATTGTGAAGGCTGTTGATTAGAGCTTTCATCAGTTATTGCGAAGGTCGTCAGATTGTAATATTTATCGATCTACGTGAAAGTCTTTAAATTGTAGCCTTCTGGAAGCCGTCAAATTGTAACTTTCATCATCGATGTTTGATGGGGGATCAGTTATCTGCAGTGATTTTTAGATAACCTACAGAACCTCCTCCAAAGTTTTCGAAAGTTCGCGGCTGACTGGGACGAATTTTCGGAATACTTTGGATTTCAACTCTGATCTTGGAGCTGTTGATTCATTGTCATAAAGGAGTTGTTCTCTACACCCCGCTTTGAAGGCATCTTGGTTGAAGGGATTCGTCATGCAGGACCCGTATGAAGGTATGCGTCATCATCTTGCTTCTGGAATACGGAGGTGGACCCTTGCGTTTTGAACTTGAGATGCGGGTCTCACCCTTACGTTTTAAATTTGAAACCCGGGTGTGACCTCGACGTTGTGTTTTTTTTTTTGCAACGCGGGTCTGACCTCGGTATTTTGACTTGAGACGCGGAGGCGGCTTTCATGCATTTTTGACTAAGTCTTAGAGACTTGTTTTTAGCTCATCTGTTTTAAGTCTCGGCTCACATCCATTAATCTGATAGGCCTGCAAACATGCTTAGGATTTTTGGCAAACCCTTAGCCATCAACGAATTTGATAAACCTTTACCGACTACCATTTTAGTCGGGCTAGCATGTGAATTATTTGAATCTGTTTTACATGTAACGTTATGCTAAGAGAATGAACCCTCTTAGACTTGATGCTATGAATTTGAATACATAGACTTTATCATTTTCACGGGAAAAGACTAACCGACAACGAGTATTAGGCGTAGACCTATCTCTAATTAGGGATCGATATAAGGTCCACCAAACATGGAATCTAGTGTTTTTTTCACGGCAAAAGACTAACCGGCAACGCGTGTTAGGCGTAGACTTATCTCTAATTAGGGATCAAGATGCGTGTGAGGTATGGATTTCAGCGTTATTAATAACAACCTGTCACGATGTTGGATACGTGGGCTTTGCCATTTTCACAGGAATGCGCTACCCGGCGACTCATGTTAGGCGTATGCTTATCTCTATTTAGGAATCGAGATAAAGTCCACCATACATGAAAGACATGGATTTTGGTGCTACGATGTTGAATACGTGGGCTTTGTCGTTGTTTCTTCCTGTGTTATGTTTTCACTTGAAACACTGAAAGAAAGTTGGAAGTGCCAGAGGTGTAGTATTAACTTGGCATGAAATTTCATTTAGAGTGTAATTCAGAAATTTTCTTCATTATCACTAGGATAATTCCAAAAAATCTTTAATCCGCTAGGGATTTTGTAATAAAAACTTGCTATTCTTGCTGAAAAAGGATTAACAAGTTCATTAGAGGGTTTGACTATTAGAGGTGGGATGTTAACATAACAGTGTTTTATGGGCCTATCGTTCTATTGAAGAGAGTCGATAAGCTGATTTGGTCGTCGGATGTGTGATGTTAAAGTGACG